GGGGAAAAAAAAGTTCCTGCTGTACATAACCCTGGGGAGCAGATGTTTTTCCATTAGCTCAGTGTTCTCTGCTACACTGGCTCTCTTTGCATTTCTTGTTCATGGCATGTTCATTATAATATTTTTTTCCTGGAGTAAACTTTAGCACGTTACTGAGACAGCAGGTAGCCCACTCTGGCCCCACTGTGAGTACATGGAATAGTTATCCTAGTGATTTTTTCTTTAAATGCTCCTTTAAATTAGCCTTAGGTCTACCTGGTGAGGTTCGCAGACTGTGCTTAGCAGGCATTTAGCCAATCTTAGATCAAATTACCAGACCTACTTTGCTGTGAGTGGCCATATTTGGTAAAGTATTGGGTTAGTCAAGAAGCTAAATTGTCAGATATAAAGCACTAGTAAAGGCAAACAAAGTGGACACTGTAGTTAAAAGTAAAGCTTAAAATAATATAGCAACAGGAGCTGGAATATTAGAACTCTTATTAAAACTGGCTTGCAGCATTCTAAAATGCTCCGTATAAATAGAGCATACAGTTATTACTGCCTGGAAATATAATCACACATACTTCAGATAAGAAATCACCCTAGTTACTCAAAGAGCTTAAACCTATTAAAACTATTTCTTTTCAGTACTGACATGCTTTGCTCTCTGGGTCAAAAGTGATATTACAAAAGTTTCAAATGAAGGTAAATTTTTGTCATAAATTTGAACCATTTCAAGTACATTTTCCTTAGCCAAACAGCAGAATTGTATTTTCTAAACAGAAAGGAGTACTGGCATGATTTTAGAAAGGAAATAAGGGGTAGAAATAGTTCCTCGGTCAGACATTTCTCTTGGTAACACAAGCAGTATTATCACCAGAAATCTCTAGGGCTCCCCTTGCAGCTCCTCCTGCAACAAGAGGTGGAAGGAGTTAACAGGATTTACCAATGCCATGGAAGTTCCTTCTCTCCTCTCAAAGTTGAATTCAAGCTCTCAGTCATGAAAAGTAGAACACAGAGGAAAAACGGGCATATTGATCGCATAAAGACCACCTCTCCTGAAGCTGCACCACAGCAGCATGGGCACTGCAGCACCCTTCCCGAGTACTCCTTGCAATGACCTGTTTCTCAGACTTGGGGCCCAAGAATAATGTTTAGGCTTATTCATGTTAAAGCCTAATGAAACAACTCTCTCTTTTTAAGAAGCCATTACATTTCAAGAGGGCTGGAAGGTTATTGTTAAAAGGGACCAGGCAAGCTATGTTAATCACAGCCTTTGCTGCAGGACACTTGAAAACAGAGTATGCCTATTAGTATTCCACTAAGCTTGTCTGCTGCAGGGAGTGGACAACCTCTCTAGTCTTTGGGGACAACAGACCTTGTACTCTTCCAAAGCTAACTGTGACTACCTGCAGGGAAAACAGGAAAAGCTTTGAGAGGTTGTGGATGCCCCATCCCTGGAAGTGTTTAAGGCCAGGCTGGATGAGGCTTTGGGCAACGTGGTCTAGTGGTGCTATGGTCCCTGCCCATAGCAGGCGGGTTGGAACTAGATGATCTTTGAGGTTCCTTCCAACCCAAACCATTCTATGATTATATAAGATATGGAAGCCCACTGTTTCTACAAATAAGGAAATAGATACAATTGACAGGCAGGTTGGAACTAGATGATCTTTGAGGTCCCTTCCAACCCAAACCATTCTATGATTATATGGAAGCCCACTGAAGAAATGTGTTAAGTTCCCCGCTGCAGATGACTGTACTCCCAGCTGGTCCTACAAGAGATGGCTGGACATAAGATTAACAGTGAGAATTCACAGTTTTATTTGGATATGTGAAAGAGCAGACGACTCTTTCTAGAGACCACAGATCCATCAAGTAGCTCTTTAGTTGCTTACTGTAAGCTACAAAAAATTAGCTTGCCAAAGTTCACTAGGCACTGCTGCAGGGAAAGCCAAGGTGCAGCATCCATTATAGTGCAGCACATTTGGACTTAGCAGCTGCACTTCCAAAGCTGCTGCTTTATTATCTTCCCCACATAACTCTGCCGGTCATAAACCCAGAAAAGCTACAGATAAAAACACTAAGTCTATGCCCTCTTATATGTTAGATAAGTATCTTTATCATGGGACAACAGAGCTTAACTTTTTGCACAGGGTTCACAGCCCTGCTTGCCTTCAGCCAGTGTTAAAAGAATGCACATGCTCTCACGCACTAATTGTGAGACCCGTCAGGAGCGCAGTAAGGGCTCTCCAGCTCCGGGGGACTGACGATGCTTCTGCACAAGGCAGGAACTCCTATTGTAGCTGCAGGTGGAGGGTAATACAGTAACAATTCCCCTACCTAAGCACCATCTGAGAACTACCACCCACTAACCGTCCCCTTGCAAGCATATGTGCTGGCTTTGTGGCCTGGCCTGGCTGTGGAGGGCTGTTAAGAACTGCCTCACACAGCTCTGGGTAGCTGGTTTTCTATGCCTCTTTCCAGTGTAAATGCAGAAAGCTCTAACTGCATCAGTTGGTTGGTACCGCTAGTTTTCATGCCTTGGGATACGAAGAGGCACGGGACCTGTAGTGGCTCTAATGGAACTCAGACACGATTGCAGCCTGGCGTCTAAACCCATACCCACACACAGAGACACGGCCAGCTGCATCCTGTTAGCATCTGAAAAGGATGGATGCTTTGTTATAAATTTACTGTAGTATGAGGTTAGGAAATTGTAATATTTTTTTCTAAAGATTTATGATTCATACTAAAAAGGTTAAAGTGTTAACGACAACAAAAACAACAATACACAAGCCATTTCCCAAAGGCAGATTAACATTTTTTCTCTTTAGAGCAGGACATTGAGGTATGAAAAAGTAAGGCAACTTGTCTAGAATCATTGACTGAAAAAGGCCAAGTCCAAGCTAAACCTGATAGAAATCTACAGCATACTGGTGTGGCTCTATCATGAATACAAAGGGACTCTGGATGCAGGCATCGGAATGTTATGCTAATTGCCTGTTGCTTTCCACAGCTGTTAATTTTGGGGTGAGCTGTAAGGCAAAAGCATGTGACTACCTCAACTGTTTTTAACCACACATTTCTGTTTAATTTGTTGTCTGTGAAATATCTCTATTTTGGAAGTTACTAACTTCTTATGAGTACACATGTTATTCCTTTCCCCTCCTCTCAGGCGGGAAGGATTCTAGGACAGAGGGTCAGTGACACCCTTTTGGACTATTCGACTCGCCGAGTCCAGTGTTAAGATCTGACTCACTTCAAAGAAGTCCTCTAATTATTCAAGTGCTGGCACAGCACTTCTCTGCACAGAGTAAAGACTACCCCAAAATACCTGCACCTCTCCTCATCCCTCAGGATACCAGAATGCAGTGACTTCCACACTACTGGGAGAAGAGAATGGGCAGTACGTCACCAAGAGCTCATTAAGCTGCATCCATAACAATAACTGACTTCAGTAACGAAATTACAAAGCAGTCACAGTATGTATTTTCAGAATATCAATCCTGATTCAAGTCCAGTTAAAAGTAAGGAGGATACAAAACAAAGATTTTCAAAGTGATAGGATAGAAAAGTTACAGCATATAAAAATAAATTCTATCTAAAAGAATTAATTAACACCTTTGAGAAAGGCACTCGATTTACACTGAAAAGTAATCATAGCAATTCACAGCTAGGTCACAGCAAGCACCAGGTCTTTATTGCTTTTGTCTTTTCACACAGTAGTAAAAATGTAAAGTGCCTAGAGCTATCTGCAGGATGACGGACAACAGACACCTGACTTCTCATCACAATAAACTGTTTTTTTTCTCTGCTCCCCACCAGCCTCCTCTGCAGCTTTAAATCAGGAGCATAAACTGAATAAAGCAAAATCTTGCTAGTGATTTTGAAGCCCACAGCACATCACTGAAATTTACATACACAATCCATTAAGTGAACACATGTGATTAACTTAAAGGATGATGCATTCCATACGGTAACTTCTTTTGTTCTTTAACAGTTAGTCAAATTGTAACAAAAAGAACATCACATATTTTGTACCAGAACTGAAGCTTAATTGGTAGGAAATGGCCCACAAAAACAGCTATAAAAATCTTTACTGAGAAGTAGGGTGAGACTGCCACATTTTATGTGAGAATTGTCAATTGTACAGATTAGCTAAATGAGAATTTGCAAGGTTCTCCTGCATACAGAATAGCAAATAATCAGCAAGGTTCCAGTGGGGTCTGCTTTTCTTTCCCATTGCAATGGTAGCAGAGACATCTAAGCAGCAATCACAGCACTCATGTAATTTCAGGCACACAACTGTGGGCCCAGTTGTGGAAGAAAGGCAAGAGCAAAATTGCAGGGTCAGAACTCTTTCTATCAGTCCTGGAATGCAAATGGTAGAATGTGCTGTACAGCTCTACTCCTCACTGAGTGTCCTACATAAAACCCTTTCCTAAGTTTGGAGATTGCCTCTGGGTAGAGTTCCTTCTCACTGTTCTTTTCTCTTTATGTGCTCTGCAGTAGGATCTCTGCACGAGTGTCTCAAACTGACATGCAACCTACAAGTCCTTGGGAGATTCGAACAGTCAAGGATAAAATGAATGGAGGACTCACTCGTTTAATAATTTACCCTTAAACCTCAGCATGGATTGGAAGTTCCCAGTCCAAATAACATTTAATACATGGTTTGCCCAGTCTTATTACAGGGAAGCACATAGAAAAAGAAGAATGAAAATAATTGCTTCTACCAACTACCATTTGTTAATGAACAACTGTCTACCCTCTTTTTTTAAAAGCATGACTGAAGTTTTCTGTGTGTTATGGAAAAATAGAGGTGAGCTGAAAAATTGCACTGCTCTAGTATTATTTTTTTTTGTTATACTGAATCAAATAAGTGGTATTTCAAAAACTGGCTGGGATAGATAGGCAGATTTGCTGTTTGAGTAAAGTGATTTTCAACTACTCCATTAATACTTATGTCATCTCATTCATCCCTGGAGGGAAAAAGGAACTCCAGGTGGTCCAGGCCTTACCTGCTTGTAGCCAAATTTGTTCAAGAGCTGTCCACAGCTGCATAGGTCCTTGCTTCATTGCGCTGCTCTGTATAGTTATCTCAGACATGGCCTGTTCCAGTCTTGATGCAGCAAGGGAAGAGGCTCGCTGTGATCCTATGGACCAAAGAAACAAGAACAATAACGCATTTTTATACTTCTTTGGGATATTTCATTAAGACAGTAGGTCTGATTCTCCATTCACTGCATCAGTTTTATGTAGTAAGAACTCCATTGAATTCTGGCGTGACCAACTGGAGAACCATGTTTTAGAAAAGGTTAATTTACTGAAAAAAACCCACTAAATTACCCAAGGGCTGCAGCTCAAACAAGCTAATTAAGAGACAGACAGTAATTATATAAAGGTCTGCTTAACATTCATCAAGGAAGCAACCATATTTTGCTCATTTGGAAAGCAGAGCTCTACCATCAAATATTTCCCACTTATTAGTAGCCCATTTTACAAGCACACTGTCACCATATAATTACAAAATACAGCCCACTAATGTAAAATCTTAGTACAGCATTACAGAGTAGCTTGGCACCATTCACACAGCACACACATTTCAAGTGACATCAATATTGTTCTACTGGTTTAGAGGCAGCGTGGCTTTTCATTTGACCTTGGGGAGCAGAGAGCTCAGTGCTTTGACTATATTAACCTTTAGTATGTGCTGTAACATTTACGCAAGAATAAAGTATTTTGCACCCACATCTCTGGGACAAAACATCACATCAAAAGCTACTCCCAGGAAGAATGCATGGGCAGAGACCATGCTCTCCAGTACAGCAAGTGGGATTATACTGGTGAGCCGACCTCTCAGAGGGGTACCAAGGGGATGGTAACAAAATAAGAAGCTACAAAATGAGATTTCAGAGTTGGCTTTGTAAAGCTTTGGGAAATAAACAGTTTAATAGACATAGGTTTAATGTGACTTTAATGGGACCCAGCCTTCTGCCAGGCATGAGGGGAGGCACATTTCCACCCCACGCTCCTCTGACATCTGCACGGGGCGGGAGAAGGCCACAGCTTGTACCTAACCCGAGGCAGCGCTGCCTGCTTCAGAGTGCTATGGCTAGGGAGAGGCCACAAGTGACACCCGAAACCTAAAACTGCTATGGGAAATAGCTGTCCTATTATCTCACCGCTAACGAATGTCATTCATTTTAGGCAGGAGAACTTCAAAACAGCCCTGCAGCACAGGCGCCTCCCACGGCTCCCTTGGAAAATGCAAATGTGCTCTTCCTAGATGCATTTCTTAAATTCCTACATATTTTCAAAGACATTCCTGATCTAATGTTCCAAGAGATGACAGTGCAGTAATGTAGCAATTACAGCCTTAATGGTACGGTAAAAGCCATTCTGCTTTGCACAGAGAATTTATTATATTTAACAGTTTATTTAACAGATCCATCTCCAGCCTGTTTCACTGCACGGGATTCCTCCCCCTGCCCTGCCCACTCACACTCCTCTCCCCCCATCCCTCCCTCCACCTGGGAGAAATTTCACTGAAAATCCCAGGAATTTAAGTCAGAGAAGGGTTGTTTAATGCAGAGAAAATGACCAGGCACTCACCCCCAGCCACCCAAACACCCACAGCTTCTTTGCAGTGCAGAGGCAACGAGAAAACGGCCATGTGAACAGCTAGTGATGTTATTAGGAGCACTTTGAAGTTAGGGCAGACCTCTTACCTTCTAGATTGGCAAACTTGGAAAAAACTACATGGGCTTTGGGCATTTTGCAGTCAGCCTAACTAGAGTCTTATGTTAGCACTCCTCATCATGTTAGTATGCTTTGAAAGCACCTTTCAGTATTACATTTCTCTGTCAAGACTGCCCTCTTTCAGAGAGGCTTTCTGGAGCTGTGTCTCTTGCAAGCACCCACACGTAATGCTGATCTGATTGCGTTAGGTGGGCAGATGGGCTGGTGTTTTGTTCACATCCTCGCAGAGCTCAGAGAAATCCTCTTTTCCTTGCAAGTCAAGCCAAGGAGACTATGTCACTGTAAGGCACCCTTCTGCGTTTTGGAGAGGTTTGCATGCTGCTGTGAGGCTGGACAGCTTCTTAGGATCTACTAAAGCGTCTTTCCCTCACCAAGCAGGCTTTATAGGAATATCACTATGAGCTAGTTGCACTCGACGGAACACGAATTAGCTGCTCCTTTTCTCCTTCTCTTCATTAGCCGGGTAGTTGCCAAGAGGGGAAAGCCTGCGATTTGAGACTGATCTTGCCCGGTGCTGTGAGCACAGCCATAAAAAGGGAACCCAAGTTATTTAGCAGTTTACAGCGGAGGCTCTTCGCATTTAACAGCCTTTGGCATTCCAGTCCTTTGATGTTTATTTTCTCTTCTGTTCCAGCCTACACAAGGAAGCAAACCACACTAGGCAGGGACCAGCCGATCCCTTCCCATCCCTGCCCAGCCTCAGACACAGATACGTTCCTTGTTCTAAACAACACACGCCAGAGAAGGCGCTCTCCATCTCAACTCATACCCACAGGTTTGCCACTGCTGTTCTTACCCATTTCTGCTGGACCGCTCAGAGGAATGCACCTTAAGGCTTGTCTGTCCCAATACACTCTGTAAGAGAAGGTCTTTGCCAGCCTGGCCCTTCTGGACTGAAGGGGGCTCAGCCCCAGATCTGAACCTCTGGCAAGCAATACGGTAACTCTGCGGGTGGGCTGAGGGCTGCTGGAGCCAGAAAAGAGTATACCTCTAACACGGCCGTCTCCTGAGAGAGGAGGTAGGCACATATCACACTGGTATCACTCTGACCTCAGGGTGGCAGGGGGAATCGGAAAAACTTCAAGCGACTTTAAAAAAATGTCTCTGAATGTCTCATAAAATATCTCTTCCTAAAGAAATGTTGATCTTCATATGCTAAAAAAAACCCACAAAACCTGTCTCACAGAACTTTAATGTCATGCCTCAAAATATATGCAAATGTTGGCATAAGAAGATATCACATCAATTTGTTATTTTAGTGCAGTCTCTTTCTCTTTTTAACAGCTCCACTAGACAGAATATAAACTTCACATTTTACAATAAAGCCCTCCACACATTTTGGAAAGAAATCATAAAAATAACAAAATTGATTTTTGTCGTGATGAGCTCTGCATAAGTGCCATACAAAATATATCTAAATAATTTTAAAGCACTGTTCTAGGGTTGTTACAAGACCAAGAAGGACCAAGTTTAATATTTTGCATCTATGAAAAAACTGCTATCAAAATAGAAATGTACCTCAGTAGATTTACTAGGCTTATAAGAAACACAGAATTCCCTAGCCTAAATCACTTCAGGCAAGAGCATTATAAGATAAGACTAAATCACAAAAAGAATGAAACAGCAAGGCAGCTGACTGATATCAGTGAATTTAGTTAGGAACACTGCTTCAGTTAGGAGAAGATGAAGAAAATAAAGAGGAATTAATCTTCCTGGCAGCAAACCTCAAATTCTGGCACAGCAAATAATCTCATTGTGATCTAACTGAGGGAGAGGCTGGTGTCAAACCCGGCCGCAGTAATCCCCCCTTCAGTGATGAATCCAGAGATCACAGAGTGCTTGTGCATTACAGTGATACTGCCGCATGCTCCCGGGGGATTTCAGGATGGAAACCAGAGCCTGTTCCAGAATGATGAAGAAAAAAAAAAAAATCAGACCTCCTCCCTCCTTCGAAGCAGCCAGCCAAAGCCGCAGCTCTGAGGAGGCACAAGGGCGAGAGGGGCTAGAGCTGTACTCTCCAATCTCACCTCCTACTGTCTTCAGAGAGGCTCCCAACCCGGACAGTAGACCCAGCTGCCTCCTTTCTGCAGATGGAGAACAGCAGCACCTACAGCCTGCAGAGCAGTGAGCCACAGACCCTTGCTGAAAACAACCAGAGCCAGCCCTGCGCTAAGGCGGATGGTGTAATTTCAGTACAAGCCCCATCCTTATGTCCATCGTGGGTGCAACCATGTTAGCATGGAAACCTAGATTCTCAAAGTGGAGGAGGAATATATTTCTTGGCTAAAACCAAACTGCATTCAGTGCAAATCACTTTATGTGCATGAAAAGCTGGTTTAAAGCTTGTACTTTACATTAATTTGCTCTTTCTGGCAGGCAGTACCATGACATCCAGCACTTTC